TCCAATTGAAATTTTATTAATTATAGCAAGTAGAATATGAGCAAAAACAGCGCTGGACGACAGGGCAGTCTGTGCTCCACCAACTGCCGTACTGAGGAGAACAAACTGTCCCTTTTTATACATTTTTTTTCCCGCGTTCATGGAGTGGTGAAGATACTATGTTTCAACTGTTGCTGCGGTCTGGAGTGGTGGAGATACTCTGCGCATGTGCTAGTTGTTGTTAGGGGGTCGTTTTCTGCCTTCTGGTGGTCGATGATATCCTTATATGGAGTTGTTTTTCTTCTGTTTGTTTTCTTGGGATATCTTGTGATCTGCAGCGTCGGCCATGTGTGCACAAGCAACACATAATTCCATGAACGATCTCCCCTCCTCTTATTATCTTTAAGTCTTAATAAACAATATACTTAACTCATAGTTTCTCACAATCCCCCCTTTTTCTTTTTATCCTACTATTGTTTATTAGACGCTACTTTCATTCCTAGCACTGCAAGCAAGCCTTCTTCCACAATTCCAGCATTTATCACAACATTCACAGGATAATATCTCACAATTACAATCATAATTCTTACATGGTATAACGCATTCACAACAATCTTCATCATCTATTTCTTCATTAATAGATACACTTTTATATTTTACCTCAGACCTTAAAATAAGTAATTTAGCTATGTCGAACCGTTCTCTAATAAAGCGTAAAATATAGCGTATTATACAAGGTCCAAATATAAGTCCCAGAATCAATATAATAAGCGGTCCTGCTAAAGCAGATAACAAAGTAGTTAGCCAAGGTGAAACATTAAACCAGTTTTCATACCACGATCTACCCGTCTCACGATCCTTTTTACGTTGATCTAACCTTTTCCGGAGTTCAGACATGGTGTCCTGGACTATTCCCATATGGTCAGCAAAAGAACAACATTCTTCATTTAGAGCTACACATAACCCTCCTTCCTTTAAGAACAATAGGTCTAATCCTCTTCTATTTTGCAGCACTACCTCTGATAAAGACTTTACTGAAGTGGCTAAATTTTGTATTGATCGTTCTATTTTTGCTAAATCCTCATCTACAGCCATCTGCAAACTTTGTAATTCCTGACCTTTTACTAGGGAGGCTATGCCTGTACCTGCTCCAACTCCGCTCGCTATCAGCAGAGTAGCTAGGGTTATCACTGTAATTGGCTCTCGTTTTTGTCTATTCAGGTCTCCTTCAAAGTGGCGTAACACCTCCTCAGAGGTGTGATAGATCAGACGAGGAACAATAATCACCTGTATGCAAAACTGAGATTGATTAAACACGTTTAAGGATAGGCAAGGCGTTACTCCGATGTCTGAACAAACCCACTTAGCTCCTGGTGTCGGGATAGCCCATTTGTCATTTTGATCCTTGTGTCTTTTTATATTGGTGTTAGTGATTGTTTGGTTGCACAAGGGCTGATACCTTTTGGGAACTGTACCTATACATTTTCCTTGACCTGTTACTAATTGAATAGTAATTCCTTGTGTATGGTTCCTCTGGTCATCCCATTGGCATTCTTGTGGGTTTGAACCACTAGACCATTGAATCCTATCTGGTATTCCGATTGCCTCAAAATATGGTGGTCTAATATTGTAACATAACCAGCATTCCTTAGTTAAATTTGGTTTACTTTCATTAAGGGTACGATAAGAGGCTCGCATTAAATCCCATAAGGGGTCTTTAGATTCTGACACTCCTGAATCCCTAACTAAAGAGTACTCAGTCACCATGTCTTTAGTTGTTCTATCTGTTACTGATAAAAAGTTTGGACGAATGGTTGTGACACTTGTGGGAACCATCCTTTTCTTAGGAAAAATGGGTGAATTTAGGACTGAGTTTGGTCCTACTGGTAAGGGATCGTGAGACATCGGTCTTTTCATTATTTGAAAGATTCCTCCTCTGTCTCCCTCTGGTTCCCAATATCTAATTGCCCAATATTTTCCTGCTAACCATTGATCGTTGTCTGGGGTTTTAATTGTTATGTTAATACTTTTACAATATCCGTCATTGTTACAGTGTCCGAATACACGTCCATTGCTTCCTATGTGAGGTCTCTTACACTTTTCCGGTGACCACTTTATTTCTAGATATTCGTCTCCAGATGTGGACCACTCAGAGGCCCATGTTTCGCATCCCCAATAGCCACAGTAATAGTGACCTGGAAGGTTACAATAACTTCTTCCAGGATTGGACGCGGGACATATGTAGATTGGTTTGCACAGATCAGCTTTGTCTTTACGGTGTCCAGTAATTAGATCGCGCAAACTCACATTAAAACTAAATGTACCCGGTGTAGCCCGTGCTTGAATTGGATTATTTGGATGTTGTATGTTTGTTATTGTCCAATTCATAGGTTCATGAGGGTTTCCTCCTTTTGCCTGGGCTATTATCAGTAACAAGACTAACGGTATACCAGGAAAAAGGGTGTTTATCACTTTTGCCAATTTAGGTGTATTTTTACCAGTCCTGGGGAAGTTAGACCATTGCTGCTTTTGCGTCCCATTGTTCTGATTCTTTTCTCCATGGTTTGTTCCTCCTCTGCCTCGCCCTTCGACTCGGTTGCTTCGAGTCACGGGGTGTACCGTCTTCTCGGCAGCAAGGGAATTCTTCAGGAGAACAGCTGTTTCGGGCTTTCTGCCTGTTTATATAGACTTCCCACTTTGCAGCTTTAACTAATGGGACAAAGCAAGACACAGTTAGTACTTCCCTTCTGCACTTTATAGCCAAAATTTCAGCTACAAAGGGGACCGGTTCGTCAGATTGGTACCGATAATATTGAGGGTTTATTTCTTTGGCAAAACTTTCCCACCACTCATAGGATTCCCCAAATAATTTCTTGTCTAATTTCTCACATTATGTCTACCATTTATCCTGGTATGCCTTGCACCTAAAACAAGCAAACAAGCAAATGGGTAACAGTTACAGTTTAAATGATTACACCTAACTCGTATATTTAAAATGCATACATTATTTATATCAGTATATTTTCTATATTCTAACAATTTTCTCTACCCCCACTTAGTGCGTTTCCATATATAATAAATGAACAAGGAAATTATTATTGCAAGTAAAAACAGCAATATACACTTTATACCAAAAGGCAATGCGGCAAAATGCTCAAACAAAGTCTTTATCATTATCTCTTCAGGTTTATCTTGGTATCACCTGGAGTACTAATTACTTTCCATTGAGGTTTCGTCACGGGGCCTTTAATGCGACTGGCATGAGTCCATCCACGCTCAGCAGTCCGGACAGCTGTTTCTGTTGTTAGTAAAACAAGATAAGGTCCCTCCCAATTGGGTTTTAGGGTTTCTTCCTTCCGTACTTTAACCAATATCCAATCCCCAGGTTTAACATTATGAATTTTTAAGTCCAACGGGGGTCGTTGCACAATCAGTCCATGTTCCCAAAGCTTATTACGATGTTCTGCTAATTGTGAAACATATTCATTAATCACATGGTCTCGAATTAAAACATTTGTTTGTGGATTTTCAATTCTATAGGACATTCCATACACCATTTCAAACGCTGATATTCCCACATCCGCTCGGGGTCTGGTTCTGAGAATTAATAGTGCCATGGGTATGCACTTAATCCATGACAATTTGGTTTCTATCATTAATTTAGTCAGAATAGTTTTGATTTCTCCATTCATCCTTTCAACTTTTCCCGAACTTTGTGGATGCCATGGTGTATGGTATTCCCACTTAATACCCAAGCTTTCGGTTAGATCTCTAACAATTTTTGACACAAAGTGTGTTCCTCTGTCCGAGTCGATTATTTCAGGCACTCCATATCGAGGTATAATGTGTTCAAGTAATACTTTAGTAACTTGGTTAGCAGTTGCCCTGGAGGTAGGAAAAGCCTCAACATAATGTGTTAAATGATCCACCATTACTAACAAATATTTATAACGCCCTACCCTAGGTAGTTCAGTAAAATCCACTTGTATGTGTGAGAAAGGTCTGTATGCTGGGGAACGTCCTCCAAGAGGTTTTTGTCTCATGTTGTTTCGATTAACCTTTGACAGGTCTCACAGGCTGCCGTGATTGTCTTTGCTATGTTATATACGCCTATACAGGCAAACTGTTGATTGAAATGATCAAATAATGCCTGGGTTCCCCAGTGTGTTTTGCTGTGTATTTTTGAAAATATTTCGAGTGCTATGCCTTTTGGCAAGACTTCCCTCCCATCTGGCAATATGTATTTACCCTCTTGTTCCTTAGCTCCCATTTGTTCTAGTTTTTCCTTTTCTGCAGACTCAAAGCTCAAATTTTTATTAACAGATACTTGTTGTATCGTCAAAATTGTATTATAATTGCCTGCCACTCGTTTTGCTTCTGTATCAGCTGCATTATTTCCCCTACCTTGATAACTTCTACCTCGCTGGTGTCCCTTTATATGTACAACATGAACGATCTCCCCTCCTCTTATTATCTTTAAGTCTTAATAAACAATATACTTAACTCATAGTTTCTCACAACACCAAGGCCAGTGGGGGAACGGAGGAAGAAAGGAGGGGGAAGGTGTGCCGGAGCAGAGTCTGCCCCACTGTATCCTGTGGCGAGACGGTGTCGTGGTTTAGGCCTGGTCCGCAGCCAACCGCAATGCAGCAGCTCTCTCTCCCTTCCCCTCCGGCAATGAGAAGGGACAGAGAGCCAGGCTTGGGGTTTGAGATAGGACTGGGATGGGGAAAAATTCCCCTTTATGATCACGAGCAAAAGGCAGCCTCGTTAGGGGAAGAAGAAAAAGAACATACATTTATTACAGACACTAACAACACATAACAGAGTAGGACAGTGAGAGGCATCGCCACATCTTGAGAACACCTTCCACCCACCCCTCCCTTCTTCCCGGGCTCAGCTCTGCTCCCGATATCTCTACCTCCTCCCCCAGTGGCGCAGGGGCAGGGAATGGGGGGTGCAGTCAGCGCTGCCACTTCTCTTCTCTTCGGTGAGGGGACTGTCCGGAACTTGTTCCTCCTTCTCCATCGTGGTCCCCCTCTCACAGGAGACAGTCCTCCACAAACTTTCTCCGACATGAGTTCCTCCCATGGGCCATTTGCACTTTCCCTGCCCACCAAGGACGGGCTCACACTGTCTCTGAAAGGCAGTTTATTGCCACGGAGGAAGGCAGGCCGTTCGCGCCGTGAGTCCCCAGCTCGCGCTGCCGCTGCTTTTCCTTCTGGAGGCAGCACGTCACCAAAGCGCTAAGGACGACTTCGGGAGATGACGATGTTGGGCCACCTGCGACGCTGAGGTGCCGTCCTGAGGCCCCGTGCTGTGCCCCGGCCACGCGCCGCGTCGGAGCGGATGGGCTGTGCGAGCCCAGGCCGGGCTCCAAGGTGGCTTCTGTCCCCTGGAGCCGGGAGCCCAGGGCCGGCGGCAGCCCTGCAGGTGCAGCCGCAGCGCTGCGGCGCAGAGAGGAAGGATCCCCTTCCCCGACCTGCCGGCAGCGCTCCCCATGCCGAGGGCAGGAGCAGAGCCGCAGCCTGGGCCAGGGCTGCAGCCCTGGGCTCGCACGGCCTGACCAGCACCGGTCGGCCAACAGTGCCAGCCTCGACGGCTGCCCCGCGGGACCTGCCTTTCGGCTCTGCGCTGGCTGCAGGAGCAGCCGCCCCGCTCCCGGGGGTGCCGAGGGCTCGGGCCCCCGCCTCGGCACTTCGCACCCACCCCTGTGAGGCGGCGGCCGGCTCCGAGGGGCTGGCACGTTCCTGAGGGCGTCCCTGCCCGTCGTTGGGGTGCATCCAGGCCAACGGTGCTGATGTCACTGTGGCCATTGTGACCCGCGGGGGACAAGCCTGCATAAAGCATCGCTGGGCTCAGGCTGTGCCTCAGTGCGACCTGGTGAGGTGAGGGGAGGGCAGGGGTGGACGGGGCTCGTGCGGGGCTGCCGAGGGAGGAGGGCGGCCCCGTGCCGGGGGGCGCTGGGCCTCTGCTGCAAGCTGACCCGCGCCCTGCTTCTCCCCCAGAGTCAACCGAGGAGCACTTGGGAGAGACACCCCAGCACTGCGGGGACAGCGACTCTCCCAGCACTCACTGTTGATGGGTGAGATGACTGCGAGGAAGCAGGAGGCCGACGACTCGATGGAGCCAGGTGAGAGCAAAGCATCCCTCCCGCAGCATAGCAGAGGGGCTGTCGGGGCGCTCAGCGTGGGGCCGAGAGCGGTGGCAGGGGCAGGCAGGAGCTCCCCAAGCGCCCCGGGGCAGGGCCCCTCCGTGCCGCAGCCAGCGGGGCCCAGGCTGGGCCGTGGGCACCTGCTGCTGGGACACCCGTGCCTGTAAGGCCAGCCCTCAGGGACGCTTGCCCCGGCCCTGCAGAGGTGAGCTGCTCATTCCCGCTGTCGTTTGCTCTCTCCCCTCCAGCATGCATGCTGTGTGGCCGGGCAGAGGCTGACCCGGACATCTGCGGGTACAAACTGCAGAAGCGAGGGCTCTGCGCCCACCTCTTTTGCCTGGTGAGTGCCCCCGGGGCTCCCTCCAGCTTGCCGACAGGCAGCCCCGGCCACGCTCTCCTCCTCATCACCTCCTTGTCTTGTCTTTCCTGCGCAGTTTTTTGCCAACGGCCTCTTCCAGAAAGAGTCCCACAACGTGGGCCTGATGGGATTCCCCCTGAGGGATATTCGCCATACAGTCGAGCAGGCAGCGCAGCAGGTAAGGACTGGACAAGCTCAGGGAGATCTGTGGTGCCACGGGAGCGGTGTGGGAGCTTAGCCCAGACCCCAAGAAAGAAATCCCAGCCCTTCCAAGCAGCTCTGGGACAAAAGTCTCGCGCCCAGCAGCTCCACAGAGCCTCCACCCAGACCCAGCACAGGAGCCTCGTGCGCCGGGTGCATCCACGGGCTCTGACCCAGCAGTGGGGCAGCATCCTGCACCCTGCCCAGGAGGCGTGGGGCTGGCTCTGGAGGCCCTGAGGCTGCCGCTGATGGGGGCTGCTCTGCTCTTTCCAGCGCTGCTTCGTCTGTGGCGAGAGCGGGGCCGCCATCACCTGCTGCCAGGAGGGCTGTGACCGCAGCTTCCACCTCCCCTGCGCCGTGGAGGGGGAATGCGTCATGCAGTTCTGTGGGCTTTACAGGTAAGGGTAGCCGGCCCTCCCACAGGAGGATCACCCACTTTTTTATACCCCTTTCTGACAGCATCAATAAGCAAACATAAAACAAGCCCACAGTGACACTTCCTAGCAGACAGTCATGGACAGAGCGAGTGGTGGGATTCCTTCACACATTATCACCCATCATTCCCACCAAAACACTCCTCACCTCACCCTTCCCTTTCCTCTTGCCTCCCCAGGTCCTTCTGCTGGCAGCACCGCCCAGAGCAGGCAGTGGAGGCAGGCTCCGGGGGAGAACACTGCCTGCCTCATCTGCCTGGACCCGGTGGAGGACAGGAAGTCCTACGGCACCATGGTGTGCCCAGCGTGCAAACACGCCTGGTTCCACAGGGCCTGCATCCAGGTAGGAGCCCTTCCCTCGCCCACGGGGGGGGCACGGCGGGCGCCCAGCAGCACCAAGGCCTCACGCCTGCTCCTCATGTTTCCCCTGCAGGGACAGGCTGCGCGTGCGCCGGCATTTGCTTCCAGTGCCCTTTCTGTAGAGATAGGCGTGCATTTCTCAATGGAGATGCTCACCATGGGCATCCGAATCCATCTTCAGGTTGGTGTCCTGCCCGCCCCACCAGACAGGAGGGTGCCAGCGTTGTGCCGTGCCAGGGACTGCCCCTGCGCTCCCGGCCCTCCGCTCTCTCCCCTCAGCCTGGGCTTCAGCTTCACGCAGGAGTCAGAAAGCGGGCAGGGGGGGAAGAGCAGGGACGCCCTGCCTCTGCCTTATGCCGGGGCAGCAGGGGCGCAGCATTTTTCCCTTGTGCTTCAGATTGCCATCATGGGAGAATGGGCACGCAGATGATGAACAAAATGAGAGGCACAGCCGCTGCGATGCCCGTGAGTGCCTTTGCCCAGGAGGCAGGCAGCACACAAAGCGACAGGGGTAAGTTGCCCGAGCGGCAACCTGGGCTCTGCCCAGGATCTCTGTCTCGCCAAGGGCTCGAAGCGGAGGGACGGAGAACAAGAGCTCTGCCGGACAATCCCGTGCTGCGGTCACTTTGTCCTCACAGCCACGCACCCGTTTGTTTCCCCAGGCCCTGGCAACTGCTCCTGTGCTGCTCCTGCGCTGCCGAGGGCACCCACAGACGATGCTCCCACTTGGGGACCGGCGCAGCCAGATGGGAGTGCAACAGCTGTGCTGGCCTGGGCACCGGTAAGAGGCAAAGCACCCGGGTGCCCCCGGGCGAGGCCTGGCAGCGGGTGCCCATTCTGGGCTTGGCAGAGCCCCTCTGCTCCAGGGGGGCTGGGGGCACAGTTCTGGCCTCTCCTGCCGCGGGCCTGGGGGGCCGTGCCCGTGACCTTCCTGCTCCCCCTTACAGCCTCCAGTGGCAGCTCGGAGGTGGCGGGTCCCATCACCGAGAGCCAGTCAGGATCGGGGCCATCCCACAGCTCTCCAGCACCAGAGACCAGCAGCCCCAGCAGCACTGGTCTCCAGGCGGCATCGGGGCCATCCCAAAGCTCCCCAGTGCCTGAGAGCAGCAGCTGCTCCAGCCCACCTGGGCCTGACCGTGTGCGAGACCGAGCTCGCTCACGGCGTAGTGCCCAAAAACCCTACAGCCGGCCCACAAGACACCGTGGCAGGAGCAGTGCACCAGCACGCAGGGCTGAGAGGAGCACCCCAGGACAGTTGGCACGGGGACGGTCCCACAGCTCGCTTGTCCCTGAGTCCAGCAGCCCCAGCACCAGCACCACGGCGGCATCAGGGTCCTCCTCCAGCTTCACAGAACTGGAGAGTAGCAGCCCCAGCAGCACTGGTGGCCAAGGGGCATCGGGGCCGTCTCAAAGCAGCTCCCCACCACCTGAGAGCAGCAGCTGCTCCAGCCCACCTGGGCCCGACCGCGTGCGAGACCGCTCTCGCTCGCGGCGTCGGGCCCAAAAGCCCTACAGCCGGCGCACAAGAGGCCGTGGCAGGAGCCGCGCACCAGCACCCAGGGCTGAGAGCAGCAGCCCCGCACAGTCGGTGCCGGGATGCTCCCGTGGCTCCCCGGTACCCGAGACCGGCAGCCCCAGCACCCCCAGCTCTGCACGGCTCCAGAGCAGCCGCCGCCCCAGCCGCCCCGGGCCCGTGCGGGGACGAGACCGCTCCCGCTTACGACGTCGGGCCCAGAACCCTTACAGCCGGCCCGGACGCTGACGCGCGACCAGCCCTGCGCCGGCCCTGCCTGCTGGCCCTGATCCCCCACCACCGCTCCAATAAAGTTGACTGTTAATCTCTGCCCTGGGAGATTCCACGCTCCTTTGTTGGCTTCCGCCGGGCCCACAGGGTTGTCTTCTCCCCGGGGCTTGGCAGCACCTTCCCCAGACCTCCCTCCTCGCGGGCTGGCCTTGGCCGGCTGCCCAGCGCCATGGCCGTGGGCTTCGGGCCTCGCTGGCCCCGCAGCCTGCTCCGCTTCCCCGGGGAAAGTTCGAACGCACAAGCGGCAAAGCGCCTCTGCTTTCAAAGTTCCCCTCAGAGTCACCTCTGGAGGTGTGACATGAAGGTTGCTGCAGATGGTGCTGCTACAGTAGTAGCCAAAGGGCATTGCCCTTCCCCAGTTCCAGCTCCTGTCGCCCACCGTGGTTGCTGCTGTACCAGCTTGTCCTGGCTTTGAGGGAGCGGTGGGGTTTTTTGGTAGCAGGGGAGGGGGCGACAGCGCTGGCCCTCTCTGAGAAGCTTCTCCAAGCTCCCCCGGCTCCAAGCAGGCCCTACCTCTGCAGCAGGGCCGAGCCAAGCAGCTCCACCTCTGCGATAACGCATTTAAGAAGGGACCTGGTGAGGAGGAGTGGGACTTGTGAGGAGGACTTGCCGCAGCTGCGTGAACACCAAGGCCAGTGGGGGAACGGAGGAAGAAAGGAGGGGGGAGGTGTGCCAGAGCAGAGTCTGCCCCACTGTATCCTGTGGCGAGACGGTGTCGTGGTTTAGGCCTGGTCCGCAGCCAACCGCAATGCAGCAGCTCTCTCTCCCTTCCCCTCCGGCAATGAGAAGGGACAGAGAGCCAGGCTTGGGGTTTGAGATAGGACTGGGATGGGGGAAAAATCCCCCTTTTATGATCACGAGCAAAAGGCAGACTCGTTAGGGGAAGAAGAAAAAAACATACATTTATTACAGACACTAACAACACATAACAGAGTAGGACAGTGAGAGGCATCGCCACATCTTGAGAACACCTTCCACCCACCCCTCCCTTCTTCCCGGGCTCAGCTCTGCTCCCGATATCTCTACCTCCTCCCCCAGTGGCGCAGGGGCAGGGAATGGGGGGTGCAGTCAGCGCTGCCACTTCTCTTCTCTTCGGTGAGGGGACTGTCCGGAACTTGTTCCTCCTTCTCCATCGTGGTCCCCCTCTCACAGGAGACAGTCCTCCACAAACTTTCTCCGACATGAGTTCCTCCCATGGGCCATTTGCACTTTCCCTGCCCACCAAGGACGGGCTCACACTGTCTCTGAAAGGCAGTTTATTGCCACGGAGGAAGGCAGGCCGTTCGCGCCGTGAGTCCCCAGCTCGCACTGCCGCTGCTTTTCCTTCTGGAGGCAGCACGTCACCAAAGCGCTAAGGACGACTTCGGGAGATGACGATGTTGGGCCACCTGCGACGCTGAGGTGCCGTCCTGAGGCCCCGTGCTGTGCCCCGGCCACGCGCCGCGTCGGAGCGGATGGGCTGTGCGAGCCCAGGCCGGGCTCCAAGGTGGCTTCTGTCCCCTGGAGCCGGGAGCCCAGGGCCGGCGGCAGCCCTGCAGGTGCAGCCGCAGCGCTGCGGCGCAGAGAGGAAGGATCCCCTTCCCCGACCTGCCGGCAGCGCTCCCCATGCCGAGGGCAGGAGCAGAGCCGCAGCCTGGGCCAGGGCTGCAGCCCTGGGCTCGCACGGCCTGACCAGCACCGGTCGGCCAACAGTGCCAGCCTCGACGGCTGCCCCGCGGGACCTGCCTTTCGGCTCTGCGCTGGCTGCAGGAGCAGCCGCCCCGCTCCCGGGGGTGCCGAGGGCTCGGGCCCCCGCCTCGGCACTTCGCACCCACCCATGTGAGGCGGCGGCCGGCTCCGAGGGGCTGGCACGTTCCTGAGGGCGTCCCTGCCCGTCGTTGGGGTGCATCCAGGCCAACGGTGCTGATGTCACTGTGGCCATTGTGACCCGCGGGGGACAAGCCTGCATAAAGCATCGCTGGGCTCAGGCTGTGCCTCAGCGCGACCTGGTGAGGTGAGGGGAGGGCAGGGGTGGACGGGGCTCGTGCGGGGCTGCCGAGGGAGGAGGGCGGCCCCGTGCCGGGGGGCGCTGGGCCTCTGCTGCAAGCTGACCCGCGCCCTGCTTCTCCCCCAGAGTCAACCGAGGAGCACTTGGGAGAGACACCCCAGCACTGCGGGGACAGCGACTCTCCCAGCACTCACTGTTGATGGGTGAGATGACTGCGAGGAAGCAGGAGGCCGACGACTCGATGGAGCCAGGTGAGAGCAAAGCATCCCTCCCGCAGCATAGCAGAGGGGCTGTCGGGGCGCTCAGCGTGGGGCCGAGAGCGGTGGCAGGGGCAGGCAGGAGCTCCCCAAGCGCCCCGGGGCAGGGCCCCTCCGTGCCGCAGCCAGCGGGGCCCAGGCTGGGCCGTGGGCACCTGCTGCTGGGACACCCGTGCCTGCAAGGCCAGCCCTCAGGGACGCTTGCCCCGGCCCTGCAGAGGTGAGCTGCTCATTCCCGCTGTCGTTTGCTCTCTCCCCTCCAGCATGCATGCTGTGTGGCCGGGCAGAGGCTGACCCGGACATCTGCGGGTACAAACTGCAGAAGCGAGGGCTCTGCGCCCACCTCTTTTGCCTGGTGAGTGCCCCCGGGGCTCCCTCCAGCTTGCCGACAGGCAGCCCCGGCCACGCTCTCCTCCTCATCACCTCCTTGTCTTGTCTTTCCTGCGCAGTTTTTTGCCAACGGCCTCTTCCAGAAAGAGTCCCACAACGTGGGCCTGATGGGATTCCCCCTGAGGGATATTCGCCATACAGTCGAGCAGGCAGCGCAGCAGGTAAGGACTGGACAAGCTCAGGGAGATCTGTGGTGCCACGGGAGCGGTGTGGGAGCTTAGCCCAGACCCCAAGAAAGAAATCCCAGCCCTTCCAAGCAGCTCTGGGACAAAAGTCTCGCGCCCAGCAGCTCCACAGAGCCTCCACCCAGACCCAGCACAGGAGCCTCGTGCGCCGGGTGCATCCACGGGCTCTGACCCAGCAGTGGGGCAGCATCCTGCACCCTGCCCAGAGGCGTGGGGCTGGCTCTGGAGGCCCTGAGGCTGCCGCTGATGGGGGCTGCTCTGCTCTTTCCAGCGCTGCTTCGTCTGTGGCGAGAGCGGGGCCGCCATCACCTGCTGCCAGGAGGGCTGTGACCGCAGCTTCCACCTCCCCTGCGCCGTGGAGGGGGAATGCGTCATGCAGTTCTGTGGGCTTTACAGGTAAGGGTAGCCGGCCCTCCCACAGGAGGATCACCCACTTTTTTATACCCCTTTCTGACAGCATCAATAAGCAAACATAAAACAAGCCCACAGTGACACTTCCTAGCAGACAGTCATGGACAGAGCGAGTGGTGGGATTCCTTCACACATTATCACCCATCATTCCCACCAAAACACTCCTCACCTCACCCTTCCCTTTCCTCTTGCCTCCCCAGGTCCTTCTGCTGGCAGCACCGCCCAGAGCAGGCAGTGGAGGCAGCTCCGGGGGAGAACACTGCCTGCCTCATCTGCCTGGACCCGGTGGAGGACAGGAAGTCCTACGGCACCATGGTGTGCCCAGCGTGCAAACACGCCTGGTTCCACAGGGCCTGCATCCAGGTAGGAGCCCTTCCCTCGCCCACGGGGGGGGCACGGCGGGCGCCCAGCAGCACCAAGGCCTCACGCCTGCTCCTCATGTTTCCCCTGCAGGGACAGGCTGCGCGTGCCGGCATTTGCTTCCAGTGCCCTTTCTGTAGAGATAGGCGTGCATTTCTCAAAGAGATGCTCACCATGGGCATCCGAATCCCATTCAGGTTGGTGTCCTGCCCGCCCCACCAGACAGGAGGGTGCCAGCGTTGTGCCGTGCCAGGGACTGCCCCTGCGCTCCCGGCCCTCCGCTCTCTCCCCTCAGCCTGGGCTTCAGCTTCACGCAGGAGTCAGAAAGCGGGCAGGGGGGGAAGAGCAGGGACGCCCTGCCTCTGCCTTATGCCGGGGCAGCAGGGGCGCAGCATTTTTCCCTTGTGCTTCAGATTGCCATCATGGGAGAATGGGCACGCAGATGATGAGCAAAATGAGAGGCACAGCCGCTGCGATGCCCGTGAGTGCCTTTGCCCAGGAGGCAGGCAGCACACAAAGCGACAGGGGTAAGTTGCCCGAGCGGCAACCTGGGCTCTGCCCAGGATCTCTGTCTCGCCAAGGGCTCGAAGCGGAGGGACGGAGAACAAGAGCTCTGCCGGACAATCCCGTGCTGCGGTCACTTTGTCCTCACAGCCACGCACCCGTTTGTTTCCCCAGGCCCTGGCAACTGCTCCTGTGCTGCTCCTGCGCTGCCGAGGGCACCCACAGACGATGCTCCCACTTGGGGACCGGCGCAGCCAGATGGGAGTGCAACAGCTGTGCTGGCCTGGGCACCGGTAAGAGGCAAAGCACCCGGGTGCCCCCGGGCGAGGCCTGGCAGCGGGTGCCCATTCTGGGCTTGGCAGAGCCCCTCTGCTCCAGGGGGGCTGGGGGCACAGTTCTGGCCTCTCCTGCCGCGGGCCTGGGGGGCCGTGCCCGTGACCTTCCTGCTCCCCCTTACAGCCTCCAGTGGCAGCTCGGAGGTGGCGGGTCCCATCACCGAGAGCCAGTCAGGATCGGGGCCATCCCACAGCTCTCCAGCACCAGAGACCAGCAGCCCCAGCAGCACTGGTCTCCAGGCGGCATCGGGGCCATCCCAAAGCTCCCCAGTGCCTGAGAGCAGCAGCTGCTCCAGCCCACCTGGGCCTGACCGTGTGCGAGACCGAGCTCGCTCACGGCGTAGTGCCCAAAAACCCTACAGCCGGCCCACAAGACACCGTGGCAGGAGCAGTGCACCAGCACGCAGGGCTGAGAGGAGCACCCCAGGACAGTTGGCACGGGGACGGTCCCACAGCTCGCTTGTCCCTGAGTCCAGCAGCCCCAGCACCAGCACCACGGCGGCATCAGGGTCCTCCTCCAGCTTCACAGAACTGGAGAGTAGCAGCCCCAGCAGCACTGGTGGCCAAGGGGCATCGGGGCCGTCTCAAAGCAGCTCCCCACCACCTGAGAGCAGCAGCTGCTCCAGCCCACCTGGGCCCGACCGCGTGCGAGACCGCTCTCGCTCGCGGCGTCGGGCCCAAAAGCCCTACAGCCGGCGCACAAGAGGCCGTGGCAGGAGCCACGCACCAGCACCCAGGGCTGAGAGCAGCAGCCCCGCACAGTCGGTGCCGGGATGCTCCCGTGGCTCCCCGGTACCCGAGACCGGCAGCCCCAGCACCCCCAGCTCTGCACGGCTCCAGAGCAGCCGCCGCCCCAGCCGCCCCGGGCCCGTGCGGGGACGAGACCGCTCCCGCTTACGACGTCGGGCCCAGAACCCTTACAGCCGGCCCGGACGCTGACGCGCGACCAGCCCTGCGCCGGCCCTGCCTGCTGGCCCTGATCCCCCACCACCGCTCCAATAAAGTTGACTG